CTCAAACAACATAGTAGTTGTAGCTATGATCCCTCTTTAATGTTTTCCCAGCGAAATCACCTTGTAGTATGTTCAACCCCGTTTAAAATCCTAACCTCACAACGCTTTTTCTGTTTCTTGGGCCCCTTCCTCTACAATAGACTACATCGTGTGCTCAACATCTTTCCTCTTACAAAACTGTCCTGCAAATCCAAAGTCTCTAATTATTTGCAGACTATGAACTATGAGGAGACTGAATCTCTCCTCCATCCTATCAGGTAGGTAATATACTAACGCCCACACCCACTCTGACACACGCACACACGCACACACACACACACACACACACACACATACATACATACACACACACACACACACACAAACACACACATCATTTCTTTCTCTTTTCTCTCTTTTTTGATTATTTTGCAATCACTATCTATACCATAATGATCCACATCCTGTGAGGAGAGTGCTGGTGCTCTGAAACACAGGCTCTTAGCCTAGCTCGGACGCCAGTCTCTCACAATCTAAATATGTTTTTCCCTGGTGAAAACCTCTGTTCATTTCTATACTAGTTTTTAGATTGTGGAGAAAATAAAGAATTTTTATTATTATTATTGTGGGGTGTCTATATAGTTTTCTCATCTGGTTGGGTGCTATAAATATATAATTATAAATGAAAATGAAAAGATAAATATACATAAATATCAATAACATAAAATAAATATAAAAGTACATAAATAAATAAAAGCCCAACCAGATGGAGGCCCTCGGCAGGGGAGACCAAACGGCCGAGGGTTAGGGGGAAAGGGAAAGAAACCGGCGGACGATGCGGGCGGTATCGAGGAGCACCGCCTTCTGCATTTGAACCTGGAGCGGTCCGCCACGTAGTCCCAGCCGCCTCAGATGACCCGAGAGGATCATTATTATTATTATTAATTCGCGCCCGTCGTCGCAACCGCGCTGGGCTCGCACTGTGGACGAGGGCTAAGCCTTCCAATATAAAAATAAATGTAAATAGCGTTAGTGAGTATGCCGGGTCGACCCAGATGTGTGCATAGACTATATAATCACGTAAGAGTGTGTTGAAATAGTACTAATTTTTACGGAATTTATCGCGTATATTTAACTTTTTTACCCGACGTTTCGAGAGCTTTACAGCACCCATGGTCACGGGAAGGACTGAGATGTTCAACGTCCAGCTGTCATAGTTAACCGCGGTTACCATAGATTAAAATTTAACTTTTGTTCCGATCTACACAGTATGAACTTATGGTATCATGGAGTCTTGCAGTTGTATGCTTGGGTTGGGATTTAATTTTATTTATTATAGGATCCTAAGCAGATATGGTAGCACCCAGCCATCTTCTCTATTGAAATTAGGATGTTTTTTGATTTCAATAGCCTCGCGAATCATCCTTGGAAGGAATCGGTGTTCTTTAGCGAAGATTTGTGGTCTATCAAATCTGATGTAGTGACGGGGGCGATCCTGTACATGTTCACAGACTGCAGACTTCCCGGAGCGTCGATTCTTCACATCAGCTATATGTTCTTTGACGCGGGTTTTAATTGATCTTTTAGTTTGTCCTATGTAGGAGAGACCACATTCACAATCAAGCTTGTACACTCCTGCATCTTGCAGAGGGACGTTACACTTGACTGATGGTAAAAACTGACCAATCTTCTTCGGCGGCTTGAAGTATGTTTTGATGGAAGCGCGCTTCAAGATGTAGCCAATCTTGTCAGTGACTCCTCTAACATACGGCAGTACAGCAGGTACACGCTCGACTGTGGCCGGCTTCACTCGTTTTCTGTGACATAGGCGCGGGACCCGAAGCTTGTTGTCATGCAAAACTTGCTTGACATGTTGGAGCTCGGCAGCCAGGTGTTTACTGTCACAGATCCCTCGTGCTCTCTGAAACAAAGATTTACCCACGGTAGCTAACTGTGAAGGATGGTGGTGATTCTCACCACCATCCTTCACATATTACATATTCATGGAAGACTTTGAGGAGAAAGCCCTGCTTACTTCTCCCATAAATCCAAGATTCTACAAGCGGTACGTAGACGACACTTTCACAATTCTACCTTTAGATAAAGTAACTGCATTTTTAGACCATCTTAACTCTATAAATACTAAAATTCAGTTCACAATGGAGTTAGAGGCAAACAATTCCTTAGCTTTTCTAGATGTGTTAGTAATTCGGAATCCTGATAACACCTTGAGCCATACTGTGTATAGAAAAAAGACCCATACAGATAGATATTTAAACGGTGATTCTCACCACCATCCTTCACAGTTAGCTACCGTGGGTAAATCTTTGTTTCAGAGAGCACGAGGGATCTGTGACAGTAAACACCTGGCTGCCGAGCTCCAACATGTCAAGCAAGTTTTGCATGACAACAAGCTTCGGGTCCCGCGCCTATGTCACAGAGAACGAGTGAAGCCGGCCACAGTCGAGCGTGTACCTGCTGTACTGCCGTATGTTAGAGGAGTCACTGACAAGATTGGCTACATCTTGAAGCGCGCTTCCATCAAAACATACTTCAAGCCGCCGAAGAAGATTGGTCAGTTTTTACCATCAGTCAAGTGTAACGTCCCTCTGCAAGATGCAGGAGTGTACAAGCTTGATTGTGAATGTGGTCTCTCCTACATAGGACAAACTAAAAGATCAATTAAAACCCGCGTCAAAGAACATATAGCTGATGTGAAGAATCGACGCTCCGGGAAGTCTGCAGTCTGTGAACATGTACAGGATCGCCCCCGTCACTACATCAGATTTGATAGACCACAAATCCTCGCTAAAGAACACCGATTCCTTCCAAGGATGATTCGCGAGGCTATTGAAATCAAAAAACATCCTAATTTCAATAGAGAAGATGGCTGGGTGCTACCATCTGCTTGGGATCCTATAATAAATAAAATTAAATCCCAACCCAAGCATACAACTGCAAGACTCCATGATACCATAAGTTCATACTGTGTAGATCGGAACAAAAGTTAAATTTTAATCTATGGTAACCGCGGTTAACTATGACAGCTGGACGTTGAACATCTCAGTCCTTCCCGTGACCATGGGTGCTGTAAAGCTCTCGAAACGTCGGGTAAAAAAGTTAAATATACGCGATAAATTCCGTAAAAATTAGTATTATTTCAATGTGTAGTGTTCGCGTAAATATAAGAAATCATTACGTAAGAGTGTGGTCAAGGAAGACTAAAGCCTTCCACATCTGAAGATATCGTTGAAGCCAAGATGGAGTTGATCGCCGCTGCCGCTAACCGTGAGTTTACCGTTACCGTTTCCATTTACCGTTCCTGGTGAGCCAGACTAATTTTCTCTCACTGTAGGTAAATTTTAAGTAGCAATTCCAAAATAAGTTTCTAATTATTTTTATTTGAAGTAAGAAGTGTCACGATTACTACAGAAAAAAAGAAGTTCAATCCGCGCATTTTTTTAATTCTATCCTTTGATCAAACACTTTTAAGTAATTTGTAATGACTTTGAAAATTGTCCCAACACTTTATCATTATCATCATCATTACAGCCCTTCACAAGTCCACTGTTGAAGATAGGCCTCCTCCAAGTAATGCCACAAAGCACGGTCCTGAGCCACCTGCATCCATCGACTTCCTGCATATCTCACCAGGTCGTCACTCCATCTAGTAGGGGGTCGCCCTACACTACGCCTACCGGTACGAGACTGCCACTCGAGAAACTTTCTTTCCCATCGGGTATTGGTTCTTCGAGCTATATGGTCGGCCCATTACCACTTCAGCTTACTAATCCGTTGGGCTATGTCGGTCACTCTGGTTTTACTGCGGATATCCTCATTTCTGAGTCTTATCACGCAGAGAAACTCCGAACATAGCCCTCTCCATAGCTCGCTGAGCGACCTTGAGCGTCCTCATACGGCCAGCAGTGAAGGACCACGTCTCAGATCAGTAAGTCATTACTGGCAACACGCACTGGTTGTACAATCTAGTTTTTAGAGATTGAGGTATACCTGACGAAAAGATATATCGTAATTTCCCGAACGCTGCCCAGCCGAGTTGAATCCATCGATTGACCTCTCGATCGAAGTTGGACCTAGTCGGACTATTTGTCCCAGGTAAATAGTGCTCCCAACAACTACCGGCATAGGTGTGACATGGACATTAAACATGATCTTTGTTTTGTCCATGTTCATCTTAAGACCTATCCGTTGGGAGGCACTATTGAGGTCATTGAGCATAGTGCTTAAGTCCTCCAGCGATTCTGCCACAAGGACTATATCGTCGGCAAATCGAAGGTGAGTGATGTACTCGCCATTGGTGTTAATACCGTATCCTTTCCAGTCGAGTAGCTTGAAAACGTCTTCCAATGCAGATGCAGATTGTTCATCGTTCGGTGTGTATTGACACTTCCACACAATCTCGATACTGACTACCCTAACTACTGACGACTACTTACCACTAACCTATTTATTTTCCGATTAAGGCCGGGACTCCACCAAAGCGGAGACGAGACGAGCGGAGAGGAGATGTTTTTTAAACAATCAATAGAATTGTGTTATTGACACATCTTCTCTCCGCTCAGCTTCAGTGGAGATCGCTGTGCGGAAATGTGTAATATTTGTATGGCGCGATAGAAGCGGAGATGTGAGCTGTGCGCGGACGACGAGCAGTAGAGACGAGAGATGTGAGCGGCATGCAGTGAGCGATATCACCCTCTCGCCCGCTAGCAACCCACAGAGGTCCGCGCGCGCGCGCGCCGTCCGGCCATCTTGCTAGTACCGTGCACGCGAGCACACGTTTCTATCGTGAATAATTTGTGCAGTTTATATTTTTCAACGTAAACAATTAATTAATTTAAGTAAAACATAATGGATGAACAATTTAATGAATCAGTAAAAAAATATCCATGTCTATGGAACACATCAATAGATACTTATAAACTTACTGTCGTCAAAGATGCAGCTTGGGGGAACGTTTTGAAAGAAACTCAATTATCTGAAGGTAAGTGCAATATATTAAACTAAGTATTTCGTTGAAGTAACATTGGAATACGAGTGTCTTGCCATGGAACGGCGCCCTCGTTGTTGAAATAGCTACAGAATTTTTCTCGAACTTGATAGGGATCCATATTGTCATTTGATAATAGATTGTCCACGTTTGTGTCGTTAAACATAGTCGTGGCCAAACCCGATTCATTATTATCTAGATAGCCAGGCATCTTGTCAATTAAAAATTTGTGTAGAACACACGTTGCCTTTATCACTTTTTCCACTGTTTCTATTTTACATTCAAATTCTTTACGGTATACGTACCATTTCCGTGATAATACACCAAATGTAGCTTCGACAATACGAATAGCTCTTGAAAGTCTATAATTGCATGTTCGTTTTTCGTTATTTGAATTATCGCGTGGATATGGTCTCATTAAGTTAGGCATCAAAGGGAAAGCTTCGATTCCAAAAAAAAAAAAAAAAAAACAAACGGTACAGGTTCTCCATTTTGGTACAAGGGTTGTGAATGTGGTAGATTCAATGTGTTTTCTCTCAAACGAATTCCGAATTTAGTATCAGCAAAAATACCACCATCGCTGAACCTTCCCATTGAACCTATATCTACCATAATTATTCTTCGGGTAGCGTCGGCTACGCACATCATTACAGTTGAAAACCTGTGTTTATAACAATAATATGAGGAACCAGATTTTGGGGGTGCAAACATGTACACATGTTTGCCATCAATGGCCCCGACGAAGTTTTTGAATTGCCAGATTTCTTCAAATTGCTTTGAATTTTTTTCCAATTATTTTCATTCCGGCATAATCAAAGGTTGTAATACTGTCTACAAGGCATCGCAGACATCTTCTATAATTCTTGGAACAGTCGATTTTCTAATCCTAAAATAAAATAACATAAAAACATGCATCGAAAAAACAGCAATTGAAGGAGGAAACATTGGCTAAAACCAGAATCGCACGCCGGAATCGATACGCTAAAATCAAAGCAGACCCTATTTTATATGCCCTTGAGAAATAAATGAACGACAACGATACAGAAAACGAAGAGAACAGATAAAACTTTTATCAGTTAAAAAATGACTCCAAGAACTAAAAGGCTACAGAGGAAAATATGGAGAAAAACTTTAAAAAACATTTTCAAAGAAAAAAATAAAAAAAAAATAATAATACGAGACCCAGAAGAATACACCCAATTTGTGAAAATGAGCCACAACCCACTACACCTAACAATCTATACGAACCATTACTTAAGAACTTAAGAAGCAAATTGAGAAAATTGCGCTACATAATAGAAAAAAAGACCAAATGTACAAATCACAATTAGAATCTTTGCAATGAAAAAATAATACGTATAGGAAAATAATTATAAGACTAAAAAAACGACTGCGGAGTCCTAATTCTAAAGTTACAGCATTACTTAGAGACAAAACCAAAGTAGAAAAAGTAAAGAAGAAAATTTTATTTCGAGAAGCAATGAAGAATACCTTACAAACAAATTACAAAAATAAAAAATCAAAGAAGGAAAAAAGAGAATTTAGTGATACTGTCATTGGTGATAAGCTGGTTTTAAAAGATCTCAAGGTTTTGTCTGAAACAAATAATTTCCTAGTGAGAGAGATGAAGAACACTAACCAAAGAAATGTCGAATATGAGAAACTAAAACGAGATATTCAATTTTTTTTGAATGTGACGATATTTCTAAAACGACTTCAGGCAAAAAAAGAATTTATTACACAGAAAGAAGAAAGAAAGCAAAAGCAATATTTGTTTGATACTATGAAAAACCTTCACAAAATTTTTGAAACTGAATATTGCAAGGTAAGTTACTCTTACTTTTGTAATCAAAGGCCATTTTGGGTACTTATACCTAAAGTTAACCAAAGAGATACATGTCTCTTCAAACTGCATGCAAACATGGAACTCTTGATTCAAGCGTTACACAAAAAAAGATACTTAAATACATTAATTCTAACGACTTAATTAACAGTCTATGATGCTCAAAAACTGGATCCGATTGCGTTTCTTTGGCGCACTTAAATAATGCCTAATAATAGACTTAAATTAGTCTAAAATTCGTACTAATATTATTACTATTGCGTTTGTTAATTAATTATGTCCACAACACTATTTACGTCCAATTCGGACTTAAATTATGTCTACGGATGTCTTTTACCTAGGTCCTACGTCTAGGAAGTGTTATTCTTTAAGTTCGCACCTATTTAGTCCGTACGTAAGCTTAGTTTCTTCAGAAAATAGTGAAAAATGTTTCCTTATGGCTGGGCTATCATTCAAAGAAGACACAATGAGTAACGGCAACGGTATGAGTACGAAATTTATATTATAGAAACTGCTTTTCTTGTATACGGTAGGTATAAGCATAACATAACCTAACTTTTTTCGTTGTAGGGCTGCGAGAAGGATAGCACATCGCCATATTCGGGACCATTCCAACCCTTTGGACGTGCCTGCAGAGGTTTTTACCAAATTATACAGGCTCTCCAAAAAAATTGCGCATTTTTAGTGGAGTATCTTCACCAGAATTTAAATGGACAAAGGCAGCACGGAATTCCTGTGCATATCAAAGTTTTGGCTTCACTCCATTTCTTTGGACATGGCGGCTACCAAACAACGGTTGGGCCGGGGCAGTATTTAGGTTTAAGTCAGTCAGCTGTAAGCAAATGCTTACAAGAAGTTGCTGATGCAATTATAACTGTTTTATTGAACGGTATGGTGCTATTTCCTGAGACTGAACAGGAAAGGGCAGAAAATAAACAGAGGTTTTTACAGATAGCTGGGTTTCCTTCAGTCTTGGGTTTGATAGACTGTAGTCAAATCTCCATTGTTCGCCCAAAAGACACAGCACTTGTGCCAGCGAGATTATTTTTTAATCGCAAAGGCTTTTATAGTCTTAATTGCCAATTTGTATGTAATGCAAAGATGGAAATTATTCATTTCAATGCCACTTTTCCTGAATCAACACATGATGCAGCGGTCTGGCAAGGATCCAGTTTGAGCCAATTATTGGAAACCAATTATGTTAACGGAGTTTCAGCTGGTGAATGGCTTCTAGGAGACTATGGATATGCCCAACTGCCTTGGCTGATGACCCCGTATGCTGATGCGGATGAAAATACACCTGAGGCTAGATATAATTTAGCGCATACCAAAACGAGGGTCCTTATTTAAAAATGTTTTGGAGTGATGAAAACAAGATTTAGATGCATTAACAAGTACAGGACGTTGCATTATGGCCCCGTGAAGGCATCTAAAGTAATAGCAGCTGTAGTTGTTCTCCATAACGTGGATATTAATAGAAATGAACCTTTACCAGATGAATTGGAACTCGAAGACAGATTGCGGCCAGCAGATGATCCTCCCAGGGATATGAATTTTTTTAAATGTGGCAAGAAATATTCGAAATAACATCACAAGACAATACTTTGCATGATGTGTTTTAATTAAAGATTTAAATTAAAGAATTAATAAAACTTAATTTCGAAAAAATAGTTTATTTATTTTTATTGATCGCTTCGACGAACATGGCAGCGGCACGCATTGGCGAGCGCCATCTGCGCTTGGGCTCCCTCCCTTAAAGCCGCTATTCTTGCGGGGTGGCTGAATCGGCTGGCGGCACGAGCGTATGGGGCGTTGCTCGACGCGCGTTGCGGCGCTCGAGGCGCTGAGTGTTGCGCACCAAGCCGTCCTCCAGTCTCTGTTCATGGGTTGAGGCCACGATGTGTTCACGACTGCAACTGATCGTCGCCAGATCCCTATTTGCCGCTGGCATCATCAACGCGTCTACCGCAATTCGACCAACGCGATATGCTGTCTGTATTGATGACGCGTCCGTCGCCATTGAAGTGACGACAGTCGCCCCATCGTGACTCGCCGTCGCGTCGGTGTCAACGCGTCCACCATAGCCGCTTCCTTCGGGGGCTCTTCTTCAGTGTCTGAATGTATATCTTGCATAGTACAATTATAAGGATAAATTCATACAATTGTACCACTATGAAGTCAATTTCAGAATACCATTATGCATAAAACTCTTTTTAACATGACTTCAGTATTTATTACTCATACCATTTGTTCCGTACTGGAACAGATTATTTATATACTATGTTTTTTGTTTCCTTTTTTTTTCGTATATAATAATAAGTACAAGGCAACACAATTTCGAAGATAGTATTTTTTCTATACTTCTATTAAATTCATTGGGTTGGCGATCAACTGTTTTCATTCTGAATGCAGCCATAATCTTGCGGGTTACGGCTCTCTGTGCGACACAAGTGCCATATCGATTGGCGGCAATTGTGGTCAGTCGAATTGAAACTACCGACGCGCACGCATGCAAATATACTTCGTGTTTCTCAAGCTCATCTCTCAAGATCTCTTTCACCCTGAAAGTGTTGTGCTTGTGCCCTATGGACTCGTGTGCGATACACTCTGCTGAACCTTGATACTACTATCATCGCAACGACTGCCCCGAGCTCCTATAGCCAGCCCCTGGATTCGTGGTTGCAGGGAGATTGTAGCGGTAAGTCGCCAAACCCAGTAGAATATCGTACATAAACATTTTGGTCATTCGATCCGGATTAAACATTTTTGATCATTCAATCCGAATTAATATCTTCCAGTTTGTCTTGTCTTGTAAAAAGAATTATTGCAGTATTACATACTCATTTCTTTTACGTGGTAAAATTCTAATCCGCCATTCTGTAACGCAAAATGTCGGACGACGAATCGCCGTGTGAACAAGATATTTTCGAAAGAGATTTAATTCTTGATGAGCTTAATCGTATTATTCAGCTCGCAGCGACAAATGAACAACATTTTCGTTCGCGAACTATTGATTTAGCTGCTCACCAAAGAAAATTCAATAAAGTTCAAACAAAGATTGAGAAAACGCTCATTAAAATAAAATCATTTAATAAAGAGGAACAGATTAAAGTTCGCAATGATTTTAACGATTTATATTATACTATTGTTACTCATTTAAATAATTTAAAAAAGGAGGATGAACAGCAGCGCCGCACGAGTCGGTCATTTCAAGTATCCGAGGTCATAGTGCAAGCAAATAGAAAAAACCTACCTATATTGCCATTGCCAGAATTTAACGACGATCCAACCGATTGGCCATCGTTTCATGACTTATTTCGTTCGCTAGTACATAACAACAGCGCTTACTGTAATGCGGAAAAGTTTAGATATTTACTACTTGCAGTTAAAAACGAGCCACATAATCTTATTAAATCTATTCCTATCACCGATGAAAACTACCTTGTAGCCTTAGATATTTTAGTGTCGCGTTATGATAATAAAAGAATTATTACATCAAAACACCTTGACAAAATTCTGGATATTGAACCTTGTTCTGATAGGTTAAGTCATAGTGTACGAAATTTACTAAATATCTATCAAGAGAATATCAAGGCGCTTGAAGTTATGAATTTTCCAATAGCTCAATGGAGTTTTATACTATTAAATATTTTGTTGCGTAAAATTCCGCTCACAATTAGAAGAACATTCGAACGTTCATTGAGTAAGTCATCCGAAATTCCAGACGTATGCGCGTTAATTTCTTTCCTCGAACGGGAAATTTCCTCTGACGAAATAACTATTTCTACGAGTTCAAACGTACATTCCACTAAGAAACAGTAAAATTCTCGTGCCGGAGCAACAACGCAAGCGACGGTACGGTGCCTACAGCTCGACGCTCTTTGATTACTAACCTTAATGTACCTATAGAGCAGTCTCGATCTAAAAGTAATGGTAATAAGGTTAGAACTTGTTTACATTGCAACGGTCAACATATATTAAGTAAATGTTCACAGTTTCTAAATCTTTCTCCACAAGATAGATATTCATTCGTACAAAATAAAAACATCTGTTTTAATTGCTTACACGTTGGACACGACGTTCAGAATTGTAAATCAAATTTCGTTTGCCGCTCGTGTTATAAACGACATCATACATTAATTCATTTTTCAACGCAATCGTTATCGGTCATTAGCGAAACGGCGGCAACTGAGAGTGCTATACAGATCCCGCTTACGAAAGAGCAAAGAAGTGTTATCACGGCTGATTCACCTCTTACCTTACCTGCCAACATCAGTGCGGTACATAATAATTGCGCGTCAAATGCGCCTTTAGTTCGTACGAATACAGTCCTATTATCCACGGCGCTAGTTAATATTTGCGTAGATGAGTCAATGGTATCAACCGTTCGATGTATTGTAGACACGGGTAGCCAGGCGTTTTTATCACAGAGGCCTGCGTACAACGTTTAGGGTTAACGCGTAAACATATAAATATTCCGGTTTTTGGCATAGGCGATACCGATCCTGTGCAACCTAAAGGTATAGTTTCATGTTTAATTATTCCAAAATGTAAACAGCAGCCCATTGTACCCGTGGATGCATTAATTTTGCCAAAATTAGTTACAAAGATGCCCAGTGTACCTCTGCCCTTTACAGGGTGGTCACATTTAAAAAATTTAAACCTAGCTGACCCCGACTTTCACACACCTCAACCGGTAGAAATGTTACTAGGAGCGGATATAATATCCCACATTTTATTAGGCAACATGATTAGTGGACCTCCGGGGTCACCGATTGCGATGAATAGCGTGTTAGGTTATTTATTATTAGGTAAAATAACGTTCGATCCAATCGTTTCGACTCCACTCCAAGTATGTTTTAGCTCGTTTGACAACGACAATCTTCAAAGGTTTTGGGAGCTGGAATCATTTTCTGAGAAACGTACTTACACTCCTGATGAGGAACTATGCGAATCCTTTTTTCAAAAGACGCATACGCGGGACGAGACAGGACGGTACGTCGTCGCCCTGCCGTTCAAACCCAATGCTCCGCGCCTCGGCGAGCCACGGCAAATTGCATTGGCTCGCTTTCGAAAATTGGAGTATAAATTGGAACGCAACGTGCAGCTCAAAGCTGATTATCACGCGTGCCTCCAGGAGTATGAGGACCTGAATCATATGGAGCTCGTTGATAGTGAGCCTATGCAAGGTGCCAGCTATTATATTCCACACCACTGTGTAGTTAAAGAATCGAGCGAAACAACTCGCACACGCATAGTGTTCGATGCGGGTTGTAGATCAAGAAGTGGTTTGTCACTTAATGACGTTCTCCTAACGGGTCCCAAGCTTCACCCTGATATAGTAGACGTACTTTTAAAGTTTCGTGTTCATGCCGTTGCGCTCACTGCGGATATTAAACAAATGTATCGAAATATACTGATTCGTGAAACTGATAGGGACTTCCAGCGCATCTTATGGCGTAAATCGCCAGAAGAACCTATACGGGACTACCGTCTCCGCACGGTCACATTCGATGTAAATTCCTCACCATATCTCGCTTTGCGTACAATTCAGCAGCTCGCTCACGATGAGGCTGAGCATTTTAGGCTCGCTTCTCCCGTATTATTGAATGACGTATTTGTCGATGATGTTGTTTCTGGTGAGGATACGGAGTCTAAAACTCTTACTCTGCAGCAAGAGCTTATCAGCATTTGTAAGACGGCTGGATTCGAGCTACGCAAGTGGCACAGCAACTCATCAGCGATACTCGCTACAGTACAGCCACCAGCTTGTCATGGTGAGCGGGTCGAAAACGTCCCATTTTCTGAAATGGAGAACGACAAAAGAGTTAAGATCCTCGGCCTCCAATGGAATCCAGGATCTGATACATTTAATTTTAAAGTTCAAGTTACCACTCATAAATGCACCAAGAGGTCTATTCTTTCTGAGATCGCAAAAATATATGACCCTCTCGGGCTGCTATCACCGGTAACCGTGTATGCCAAGCACTTGATTCAGCTATTGTGGATGGCAAAGGTAGACTGGGACGATAAACCGCCCCTTGATATCATTAATTCATGGATACGTTTCATAAAAAGAGTTACCGCTGCTATCACATCAACACCTATCGAAGGATGAGATGGAGAAACGGGCGGGAAGTTCAAACCTGCCACTCCTGTCTGTCGATGCCTTAACGTTGCAGCTCTTCGCTCGATACGTGAATCTCCTCTTCGTATTTTGATGCTACGAATCTTCGGAGATTTCAAGCTTGAACTCCTTATTCGGCTCGATAGGACCACTTTATGTACAGGAACGGGAGGCAGGTGCACTTCAATGATTGATTTATTGAACGTTTGTTGGTTATATTTAAGTCGTCTTATTGCTAATGGTGTGTATCAGGTAATAAACAAAATTCAAAACAGACAGATCTTATAACTAATTGCACGACGTGCTGTGATTGGTTGCTAACAATGACGAGCTCTGATTCGTAGCTAAAAGTTTGGTGTTCCGGTGCGTCGCTAGGCGGCGTTAGAAGTTGCGCCAACAACGTCTAATAAGTACCTATATTTTTATAATTAAATAAAGTTATGACAAATAACATTTTTAAAATAAATCTGTATAATATTTGGAAAAATACAGCGGCACAACCTTTTTTGAAATAAGAGTTTGAAAGTCTTTTTGCTTTCTGTCATCAAGCTCAAACTTTTTGCTATAAGACTTCTCAAGGACTAAATTTTCTATTGATGTCAAGCTTTTACACACATTATATCTTACGTTAACCTCTTTGTATTCTTTATCTTTATATGAAGTTTTGTAGTAAAAATGTAAATGTTTATCTTTTTTGAAATCGAATTATTTTTATATCGTTCCAATATACTTGACTCTTTTCAGAATTTTTATTATAGTTGACACCCCATTGATTTTGTAGAGATTTTAAGTCGATGAAACCATCATAGGTCAATGTGTGAACTTTAAATTTACTTCCTTTTTTTTTCGCATTTTGAATAAGCGTAACGTACTGTTGAGGAATGTAAATATTGTCAGCTCTCAAGTATTTTATCTTTTCTTTTTCTATCAGGCTGTGTACATTATCGTTTTCATTTTGTGTGTGTCCTTTTATGAGAAATTTACGAGTTATTGTCTCAATGTTTTCAAAGTTAGCCAAGGCATACAATGTAGTAATGAATTTATTTTTGTTTTGGCCACAGCAATTGTCGGAATAAAATATAACATTGACGGATTTACTCGTATTCCTCTCATTAATTGCATTTAAGAATTTAAAAACACAAGTACCAATTTCGACAGAACCTTTTTTGTCCTTGGGTCTCATCCCAAAAATAGCATTGTACGTCTGTATATGCCCTATTACTGTCTTCCTCAACTAAGTTTTTTTTTCGCTAGCTCAGCAATTGTGATGTTTTCCACGATTAGACTGAGCTGGTTTAGTTACAGTAGGATCCTGATACTCTTTAGCAACATTGTCTACACGCTTTTTGGATATTCCATGGATAGATGCAAAGCCATTTCTGCAAATTTGTATATTTCTATTTCCTAATTTAATATAATATTTGTGTGAACAACTCCGTTTCTTCCCCGTACCAGTTTTAGATCTTTCCCTTTCAACATTCTCAGTTTTAATTAAACCGCCTAAGTATACGTTTTGCACATAGGTTTCTTCCAATTTATTAAAATTTTCCAATATTAGTTTCCTATCTTCTTCATTAATTTTAACAAAACACTTATACTTCTTACAACAACAATCCGGTCCAGTTTTTCTTTCGCCTATTTCACGGCCTTTATAGTTTAAATAGCCCTTTCCAGTAACAATAGACTTCTTTATTACATTCCGTTTCCATTGTGATGGATTCGCGGATTTTCTTTTTTTCGGCGCTATGCCACTCGTCGATGGGCATGGATTATCTATATTAAATTCATCCAAAATATTCATACCTTTATCGTTCGCCTCATTAGTTTGGTTTTGAAATGTTAACAAACCAACATCGCTTCCATCATCATCTGAACTGGTTGAACATGACTTGTAGACAGGCGGCTGGTAAATATCTGACGAGCCACTACTAAACGGTTCAGTGTCACTCATTTTAATACACACTTAACGTATCAAACTTAAAACAATTATTTAAAAGAATAATACGCATGTCCTTTCGGGCCGAGCACAAAACGCACTGACTTGTTTACAAATGATGTAATAATTTCATTTGTTGCAAGAAGGAGGCAGGTCCGGACCTGCTCCCTGATTGCACCAAACAGAATAAGGTAGCAGATCCAAATTTTGTTACAGCGCGCTTGTTTGTCGTCGGATTTGCCTCCTAAATGCACCAAACCATAGCTAATTTTTTTTGTTTAAAATGTAGGTGAAAAAAAAGGTAACGGTTAAAATTTGGATCTGCCCCTCTTTTGCTGCAAGGTCCTCAATTGTGATGATTGATGCAATCATGAAAAAATAAGTAAATCTAATATAGAGCTTACAAAAAAACTAATGCCAATAACTTACAGCTTCCACAGCTCCAGGCAATCCATATATAGTTGATGTCCCCTATATATTTATTGTTTTTTTCTCCAGTTTTGTCAAGCAGATATCTGCTGGAGGACCACCTCCAGTCCTCTGCATAGATGCACGCTGTGTGCGCATGTTAGCCTTCCTGCGTGCTAATAACTTGTATGTCTGAAAAATTTAGATTATACATTTAACAACAACTAATATCCAAGTGGGTAAAGTAGGTTGGTTATGATTTAAATTTTAAAAGTTCATTGATATATTAGTACAAAATTAGGACAATTTAATGTATGAAGCACCACTAACTAACTTCTGCTTCTGCTTCTGTTCTAACTTCTCTTCTAACTTCGGCTTCTGTCAGTTCAGTCCACAATCTTTTGGTAGCCGGCAACTGAGAATTTCCTGTAGATAAATAAAGACAAATGAAGTATAGGTAAGTATAAAAACATCATGTTTTATTGGATGCCAATTATTTATATTATATGTTATGTTATAATTTAACGTGAATAAATGATTGTGAATGTAATAACAAACGTTGCAATGCGATATGACTACCAAACTGAATTTACACAGGAATGCTTGTAGATAGGATAAGTTAGAGTGCAATATATGATTATGATCAAATTTAAAATGAACTTGCTTTTCTGTAAATAGATGGATGGATGAGTGGGGTAAATCGATAGATTAAAATATAACAATTTACACTACTAAAACAAAAATTCACATGAAATATTTTGTAAACATACCGCTAACCGTTTCCGGATTCCTCATCAAGAAGTTTAATAAATATTGTTGCTGTTCTTTCTTCATTCTTGGCTTCTTTGTATCCATATTTATTAGAATTTTAATAATTCTTGCGAAAACTCACACAAAAAATAACCACGACAGACTTGACAGACTAGTGGTGTGGTGTTGCCATTTGCGGCGGCAAACGAACGTAATTATGTCCATTTCCATAGACGTAGAATTACGTTCAAATTTAGTGACGTGAACTTATTTTAACAGAAACGTAATAGCTTTAGGTTAAGGACATGGACATATTTAGTAAAATTTTAGTCTGTCATTATTTAGGTTTGAAGAAAAACGCAATCGGACCCACTGAATGTTTGGTGGAACGATGTAGTTTGTGCAAAAATAAAGTAATTGACTATCAAGAAATTGATAACGATGATTCGTTATCATTCAAAAAATGGGAAAACTCAATATCCACTTACGTAGTTAAAGGACTTACATAGAAAATGCTAAAATAATTATAGCAAAGATCAAAGGACCAAGTCACCGAAACAAGCTATTGAAGTATTAGAAAATACGATTCCAATATTCCTGAGGAAACATGAGGGAACACGTAGGTGGCAATTTACTGCAATAAAAGATCGGAAGGAACATCTCAAGGGCAATGAAGCTATCATTCACATAGATTTTAGTGAGAACTATGCTTTGAAGTAAGATTCGGAGGTTCAAGCCTTCCACTTTGAAGGTAGTAGGCAAGAGTTAACACTGCATACTGCAGTTTTATATATATATCGCACTCTTAATACAATAGTGACCGAACTCAAAATTGGCTACTTTTGGGAATCAACGAAAATGTAATTGCATTTCAATTTTTTTTTCAATTAACTACAAAATGAATATTTCTAGTAGCTCGTTAACCGGGGTTCTATTGTTAAAATTCTATTGATAAAAAGTTTTTGCTTTTAATAATCAGTTATTCTGTAAATTAAGTTTGAAAACAGTCTTTTAAAGATGTCGTTGTTAAACAAAACAATCACACTTAATAATGACCGAATTCAAAATAAGTCAGTATTGTATTAATTTTTGTACGCTAAGATTGACCTAATGAGAAATAAGTTTTTATTGTATTAAAATATGCGGTTGTAAAATCGACTCATTAAAACTTACGTCTGTATACTATTAAATTATTACATTCATATTATGATTTACCTGTTAATAATTTAAGGTAGGAATGAAATACTTTTGCATGTTTTATATATTTTAAATTATTTAAAATGTTCAGTTATTAAACATTGAAGGGACTTACTGCCCATAACACAAAAAAAGTTAATTAAGACATTAATACTTATATAAGTAAGGCTTTGTAGTTATTTCAAAAAATGTACAACTGTGTAACGAAATGAGTATCAAAAACCTATCCTATCCATTATATTACAAATTAAATTATAAAGATGAGATCAGGAATGAGAACTTTATCAGAAATACTTATTTATTTATAAGATTTATCCGTAATATTTAGTTGTGTAGCAGTTACTTTCTAATAAAGTACGCAATGTATGTAAATTGTGATAAAAAAAACAATCTAAAATACAAAATAGTTGCTTTTGGATGTATCAAAAACAAATAGTCTTAGAGAACTTAACCTACATCACAAAATAGTTTCGTTAAGGCACAAATTTGAGAAAAAAAGTTAAAGATAAAAAATTATTTAGCATGTAAAGTGACAGCTTTCCGAAAACTAAAACCATGGACTTGGACCAGCGTTTTGAGCAACTTTTCCAACAAAACTTCTCGGGAATGAACTTAAATTCCCAAGAAAAGTTTTTTGGAAATATTGGCTTGAGTCCATGGGTATGTGTTTTAGGAAAACTACGTCTAATAAGTACCTATATTTCTATAATTAAATAAAATTATGACAAATAACATTTTTAAAATAAATCTGTATAATATTTGGAAAAATACAGCGGCACAACCTTTTTTGAAATAAGAGTTTGAAAGTCTTTTTTTCTTTCTGTCATCAAGCTCAAACTTTTTGCTATAAGCCTTCTCAAGGACTAAATTTTCAATTGATGGCAAGCTTTTACTCACATTATATCTTACGTTAACCTCTTTGTATTCTTTATCTTTATATGAAGTTTTGTAGTAAAAATGTAAATGTTTATCTTTTTGAAATCGAATTATTTTTATATCGTTCCAACATACTTGACTCTTTTCAGAATTTTTATTATAGTTGACACCCCATTGATTTTGTAGAGATTTTAAGTCGATGAAACCATCATAGGTCAATGTGTGAACTTTAAATTTACTTCCTTTTTTTTTCCGCATTTTGAATAAGCGTAACGTACTGTTGAGGAATGTAAATATTGTCAGCTCTCAAGTATTTTTTCTTTTCTTTTTCTATCAGGCTGTGTACATTATCGTTTTCATTTTGTGTGTGTCATTTTATGAGAAATTTACGAGTTATTGTCTCAATGTTTTCAAAGTTAGCCAAGGCATACATATACAATGTAGTAATGAATTTATTTTTGTTTTGGCCACAGCAATTGTCGGAATAAAATATAACATTGACGGATTTACTCGTATTCCTCTCATTAATTGCATTGCAGAATTTAAAAACACAAGTACCAATTTCGACAGTACCTTTTTGTCCTTGGGTCTCATCCCAAAAATAGCATTGTACGTCTGTATATGCCCTATTACTGTCTTCCTCAACTAAGTTTTTTTTCGCTAGCTCAGCAATTGTGAAATTATAACAATTTAATCTAGTTGAATAATAAAAACTGCTGCAGTTACCGTCTGGCACCTGTAAAATAGCTTGTAAATAATAAATGGCACATATGTTTGTGTTATTAATAGCGTATCTGTCTTTTTGTTATTCCTGTCTTGACAAATCTTTTTCTTCCAAATGCATTTCGTATTCTTCTTTTAGGTTAAGGTCAGGGTTCAATCTATAGTTGCTGCAAATGACACAAAGATCTTTTTTCGGTTGCTCCATTTTCAAGCAAAATTTTCCGTATGGTTTGCCGTTAGCTTCTTGAGCCTCAACAAAGTCTTGATAAATGTCTGTTATGGTTTTGTTCGAATTTATATACTCACAAGATGACGTGGCTCTAGTAAAATGAGATACCAAACGGGGAATATTGTCAATAAAATTAATTATATCTTGATTAAAACTACTTTTACGGATTTTATCGCGTTTATTTTTACTTTTTATTTTTAATTCCCGACGTTTCAGGCGCTTTTCAGCACCCATGGTCACGGGGGACTGAGATGACTGACGTCCCGATGTCATTGTTAAACCCGGAGTACCTTCAGCTTTTTTAATTATTGTTTATGGTCCGATCTATGCAAAATGAACTGACTATGTCCTGAGGTCTTGCAGTGGTATGCTTGGGTTTAGTTTTAGTTTTATTGATTATAGGATCCCAAGCAGGTGGTAGTACCCAGCCTCCTTCTCTATTGAAATTAGGATGTTTTTTAATTTCAATAGCCTCACGTATCATCCTTGGTAGGAATCGGTGTTCTTTCGCGAGGATTTGTGGTCTATCAAATCTGATGTAATGGTTGGGGCCGTCTAGGATATGATCACAAACTGCAGACTTCCCGGAACGTTGATGCTTCACATCAGCTATATGTTCTTTTACGCGGGTCCTAATTGATCTTTTGGTTTGTCCTATATAAGAGAGACCACATTCACAATCAAGCTTGTACACTCCTGCATCTTGTAGAGGAATATGACACTTGACGGATGGTAGGAACTGACTAAGCTTGTTCGGCGGCTTGTAGAATGTTCTAATAGAAGCTCGCTTCAAGATATAGCCAATCTTGTCTGTGACACCTCTGACATATGG